GGGGGGGGGGGGGGGGGGAATCCGCTGCCCGGGGGTCCGCTGCTCGGGGGTCTGTTGGAGTCCCAACCGCTCAATCCGTCCCGATTGCCGTTCTTGCTGGTGTCGACGGGCCACGCCGACGAATGCTCTGTCGATCCTTGTCAATCAGAAAAGACTTGAGTGATGCCTTGGTAGACGCAACGTTTGAGCACCGAACTATGCCAGGCGAAAGGGCCGAAGGTGAAGCCGAAGGGCACGTCGCCGGTGTCGAAGAAGTCGACAGACGTGCTCCTCGCCATGACTTCTAGCCTACGACAATCTCCACCGCCAAGTGCAAGTCAACCAGAAGCGCAATGTCAAGCGCCGAGTGAGACAAGCGAGCGGAGACTACACACTCAATGCCAGAGCCGACGTGGGAGGAGGATACGCCTAGTGACTATCTGGTGATAATGTGTCGGCATCATTAAGCCGGTACAAGTATACAGCACTTCAACCGGTAGGAGCCAACCGGCACAAAATGTTAGTAAGTGGTAGGAGTATATCGGGTCAGGTCAACGATGGCCGGTTGAAAGTGATCGAGTGCGGTTGCTGGAAAAAGCTACCCTACTCAGTCACCGACAGACAGCAGGAAGCTGGAAAAATATGGTTTAACGAGGTTGGTTGTATACGAGGCATTCGTAGTCGCATTCGTAGAAAGTGCGTGATGGAGTTTTCAGATCATCGAACGCTTGTTTCAGCTTTCCGCCAACGACAGTGGAACCATTCCAGTATGCACCAATCCGTTTGTCGGACACATCACAGTCGACACGACCATAATCGCAGGTACAATCTCGGACATCCTTGAGTTCCGATTCAGGGCAGCCATCCCCGCAAGAATTGGAACATTCCGGCACGACAGTGAAAAGCTTGACGAGTTTACCGAGTATTTTTTCCACGTAGCCATATTCAGTCAGTTCGGTGTCGGTCAGCTCGGTGTCGGGCACGGCAGGTGGCCCCCGGATGATTCTCTCGTGGTATACATTGCTGCAGGCAGTCTCACACCATTTGGGGTTCTTCTCCTCCAGGACTTGTTGCATCACCTCGACCATATCGTGCCCGTAGGCCTCAGTACCGAAAGACCAACAGTCCGGAAAAGCGCCACGCCGCACCTCATTACAAAGAAGCACTCCGGACTGATCACCTTTACACCGGGTCCATGAACTTGTTGGCGACCGCCGGTATGACTCAGCCGTTCTTAGCCGACCGATAAAGCGATTTACGTAGTACCAGCACGTGTGTTCGGCCACACGCAAAGCAGTTAGGTTCACACGCGGCACGCCCACGGTGCTTACTAGGTCGTGGACGGTGCCAGCATCTTTTGTCTTTGTAACTTCGTTCACGGCAGTCGTGATCATGTCTGAGAAAGTTTCAGTCTTCGTTTCCAGCGATGAGGACGACTGGCTAGTATTCCATAATCCCGTAACACCTACCGTAGAGGACTCTTCAACCGGTCCCCATAAGGACTCGTTCCCTTCTATTGGTCCCCATACGTTGGTAACCATCGTCGACGCCAGTTCCGTCAGTTGCTCGCCGAGAGACTGCTCCTGGAAACCATTCGTGCTGAAACCATTCGTGCTGAAACCATTCGTGCTGAAACCATTTGTGCTTTGCGTCGTGTCTGAATCTCTCGCCACCAGCATTGCCCCAAATGTTGATGAACAATTAGCAGGGGCGGTCGGTGTCACTGGGCCGTTGGGCATAAATTTCACCAGCATTGCAACTAGGGCGGCCGCTGAACCGATGAGAACACCCAACCCCACGTCACTCTTCCAGTGATACTGGAGGGACCACGGCTTCAAGGGTGGCTCGCGGCGAAGCACCGTGCGGTTATAAGGACTGCCGGAGACCGCCTTTCTGAGGGGTTTCGGGACGTTCTCAAGCACGAAGTCCCTCTGGAGTTGCTCCATCAGACGAATGTTCTCTACTATGAGCTCGGTATTTTCAGGAATGACGTTTTCTCCTTCTTCTGGAACCAACGTTCGTTGCTGCTGAACAGCGATCAAATTCTTGCCAAAAATGTTGCAGTAAAGTTCATGCAGACACGCCAATTTGAGCCCCCGATCATGCACGAATATGTTGTCCACCATATCCTCAACCTTCTGGGCCGCTATGCAGTCAATCATGGTCACTTCCGCAGCGTCACGATGAAGAAACGTAAATGCATGAGAGTCCCTCAACAAGTCGAACTTTCTCGTCTTCTCGAATCGCTCGAACGCCTCCTTAGGCGCCACCACTAACGCCTGCGAAGGTTTCACACCCTGGCACGCTACTTGCGCCCACCTCACCTCACATCCAGCCAAATCCGGTAAGCACCCGTTGTCACCATTGATGATAGCTGCAAGCAGCCCACTACCTAAATTCGACTCTGTTGAAAAAACAGTTCTCATGAAAAAATTTTCGACCCCCCAAAAAATCGCTGGGTGGAGCGTTGTGGATATACCACAACTCCTCAGTACAGGTGTTTCGAAATGCGCCTGTCACTGTCTTGTTTTTTCTGGCAAACAATGATCCCGCGGAGACGTCGTGGCGTCCCAGCCACTGCGAGCTTGCTGTGTCGTACTAGTCGGCTGCTGACGTGGTGCTGCTTTCGTCGTGGGGAGAGTCCTCGGTGTAGGTTGTGGTAACTTGCATTGCTGCGGTTTCTGACTCTCGGACAAAAAGGCGAGACAAAAAGCTTCGGCGGGCGAGACATAACAACTGAAGGCCGACCTCGCCCACTGACATACCAACACGCCCCCTCGGCCTCTCAGTTGAAGGGTTGTATCATCCCTAAGAACTCATCCCAGTTGGCTTCTGTCCTCATGCCAACGTCGGCCGTTCCCCGCCCGTTCTCGGCCTGCTCCTCCAGCTCGCGCTGCCCTGAGACGTACTCTTGTGTTGCCCACCGCAGTAGTGGATCCGCGCTCAGCTTGAACCTTCTCACTTGGTCTTTGTGAGCCGTGACCGTCCACCCCGGCACGTCGCACCTTTCTGCCACCACCTGCGTTTTCCTCAACTCTGTTACCCTCATTGGTAGCGACCACGCGGTGTGCGCCCAAGCTGGTGTCTTCGGTCCTCCCCCGGCGTCTGCATGTGACCCTGGCTCCATCGAGACTACTACTACTTCTCCTACCCGTAGGTCATCCGCGCCCGACTCCTCGAGCGGCCTATCTGCGAGCAT